TGGAAGTGTCCGAGGCCAGGCTGGATGGGGCGTGGAGCAGCCTGCTCCGGTGTCCCTGCCCGGGTGGGAACGAGAAGGTCTTCAAGGTCCCTTCCAACCCCAGCTGCTCAGTGATTCAGCAGAACCGAGGTGAACACAAGTCTGTTAGGGCTGTAAATATTGTCAGCTTCTGTTTAGATTTGTTTGAGAGTAAGACAGACTTTGTCCCATCACAATAGGGACAAAACGCAGAGCACGGGTCACAAGCTGAGGTGACATTCCCTGAATGTTGGGTAGCACCTTGATTTCACGCTAGAAAAACCCCTAGCAGGACACTGCTTTGGAGAAAAGCCAGATCTCCTTTCTTTCCGTAGGGCAAAGTACATTTATAAGCTCGGTGTGAGGGGTGAATGTTTTTAGTTGCTTTTGAAGGGAAGGGAATCCGGCTTCTGAACTTGATTTTCTCTTGTGCTTTCGAGCAGTTGTTGTACAAGGTTATAATAGAAAGTAGTGTTTTCTTTAGTTGTGCCCTGATTCTGAGATGTAGATTGCTTATAAGCAAGTATTGCCAGTCATTGGAAAAGAGCATATGGACAAAAGCTACACTGAAATCATGATGGGATCCTTACTTAGTTCTTCAGGAATTGATTCCTTTTGTTAAAGGTAACGTAGGGAACATGTAGCACTTCATGCTGCCGAAGGTGGTCATTCTGCGTGCTAAATACTCCAGCAACACCCGGCCTTCTTACAGGAGCTCGGTGTGCGGTACAGCCACACGACGCAGTTATAAACAGCCTGTTGTGACAGTGCTTTGGCTTCAGATTGCGAACGGATGTACACAGAGCAGCTAAAGCGATTACAGCTCCTTCTTCTCTGCTGCAGATGATTGCCCACACAGCAGGCTTGGCAAGGCAGGTCACATCTCTGTCCCTACGCCACTGCCGTTCACAGCCCAGCGTGCTTACGTAAGCTGAAATAAGTGATCGCTTGTGTTAACGCTGCAGATTTTAAACAGGGATGTCGAGAAGTGGGACTGGTAACTGCCTCCTCCGCTTCAGTCTGCCAGCAGGTGTGTGTCAGAGCATTACCCTCAAGAGCAGCCTGGGCAGGAGCAGGTTTTTTGTGGACTGTCATCATGACTTAAGTAGCTTCCTCCCCTCGCCCCTCCCTGCCTTGGCTGCAGGAGAGTCCTGCTGCTTTTTTGGCAAAAAGCACGGCCAGACCGCAGCTGCCCTGCGGCTGGCTGCTGCAAACGCGTCTTTATTACGAGCTTAACGTAAGATCGGAGACTGAGCCGAGATTCGGTTGTCACTGCCATACAAAATAGTTAACCCCGGCAAAAACAGTGGATTTTTGAGGAATATCTCAAATTGCTGTGAGGGAAGTCTAAGCCAGAGTCCAAGGGTTGCCAAGGTTTGTTGGTACAGTGGAGTTTAATGTAATTTGAATACTTATTTTCTTTGCCGCACTTAGCTTCTGCCTTATTCAGTAGTTGATTCCAATATATTCAAATGAAACTGTGCCACCGACTTCAACAAACGTGCTCCTTTTCCCGGAGCAAATGAATGCTTTTATCTCGCGCTGTATGCTCAAACGGGGATTGGGACACTGGCTGTGCTCCCTTCTGCCTTAGGTGAAGAATCTTTAATTAGAATTTAATTGACAACGCCGGACATGCTTTGACAGTGAGAACTGAATCCATTTTAGTCTTACAGATGTAACAGTCATGCTGTTCGATAGTATCAGTGCAGGGCGAAGCTTTGATGCAAATCCGGGCTGGTTTCATGTGAGAGTCTTGCTCATCCTTTGGCAAATAAGGGGAGATGAGACCAAAGGAAATTATTTCACAATGCGATTTCTCGGAAACTTTCTAAGATCCTCTTGAATGTTTTCTTTACCTGATTCATCTGAGGTAGCAATAGCAACAAAAGCTTGTAACTAACGGCAAGTATTTATTTTGCCCGTTTGCACTTGGCCAATTAAATAGGAGAGATGTGTTAAATTTTTCTGGCTGATAGGAGGGCAGCACACTGTGTTATAATAAATTGTCTATAGGACTGTTTATGTGAAGCGGGACTAATATTTTCCTCTGCTTTTGTTGCTGAGTCTGACAAAATAGGCTGTTTTGCTTCCAGAGGGCTGAGGTTCTCATAACTGAATTTAAAGAACTTGGGTGATTTTTTTTTTATTCGTATGGTTCTAGAAGTTTTCTTGATGAAGATGTGAGCTGATATCACGATCTCAGTTGTGTTCTCGCAGCAAGGTTAACGTGACAGTTCTTCAGATGATGCTGTTAACACTGTGTTAGTGCAGTAAAATCTGGGTAATAGTGACTATTTCCGTTTCAGGTCGAGAGTTCATCATCCCTTCGTTGGCGCACAGGTTCATAGCAGAGATGGTGGACTTTTTTATTCTGTTCTTTATAAAGGCAACCATCGTTTTAAGTATTATGCACCTGAGTGGAATAAAGTAAGTTATACACTGCAAGGCCTTTGGTACGTACAGCATTTAGCTCTTCGTGCTCTTTGAGGTGTCACGGTGTGTATACCTAGGGGTGTGCTTTGACATGCGATGGCACTAATAATGGCCAGAAGCTGAGGAGCAGTTGCTGCTGTGGTAATCTCCTCTTAAACGCTTCCTGATTTTGGGTCAGCTGATGGAAACAAGGCATTTGTACTGGTGTCCTCACAGGCTCACCAACTCTTTACTGAGGACAGACTAGACTTATATTCTTATTTGGGAGAAGGCAGTAGCAAGTTTTTTAGTAAGTCCTTTAAAAATTTCAAAGAAAAAACATTGACAAATAATTTTTTTTAAAAAAAAAACAACAACAAAACAGCCTTTAAAGATGTACTGGATCTGGCTGGAATGGAATTTTCTTCACAGCATTTCCTGTGGTGCTGTGTTTTAGTTTTGTGACCAAAAGAATGCTAACCCATAAAAAAACCCCAATTAACCAGATCCTGCATGTCACATATGTACTTTTAAAATGCAGCCTGATTGCGGGGAGTGTGACCACACTGCAGTCTTCGCTGGGCTTAAGCTGGGTTCCTTCAAGTATGATTAGGCATCAGGTGTATCGACGGTACCGACAGATTCTTCATTCCACATTTTTGTACTCAGATTACCTCAAAGGCTGTTGTGGCGTTTTTTTATCTGCTTCTTTAACTGTAGGTAACTTATTCCTTAGCTCGTTCAGTTCCTCTGCTTTGGGCTGGTGTAATGAAATGTTTTGGTCTAGTTAAGAGACCAAATGTAGTCGGTAATTCCACTGCTGTACAAACACATTTTGGAATCCAAGTTTTCTGCTCAAGAACTTCCAAACGTTGACTGACTATAAACTGATGCGTGCAGGTAACGTCTTTCACACGCTTTACACTGCTGCTTGGAAGGTGTGTGGAAGAGGGTCAGATCCCAATGATCAATGTGTCAATGTAAAGCATCAGTGGATTTTTCTACAGAGAAGCACGCAGTCAAAACGCCAACCTCTCAGCTCTGCTTAGTCACCAGCGCCTCCAGCGAACCCAACAGCTTGTGTTTCCATTTTGGTTTTAGTGGGCTGAGAATGATACAGAATGAAGTACTGGAAAGCATTTCTTTAATTTAGAGTATGTTCAAGATCACCGCTTTTCAGAGAAACATCCTGGCATTATTTGCTTGTGGGATGTAGCGAGCTCGAGGGCGTCGCGAGAAGAAAAATACATCCTCGCAGGCCCAACACAGACTTCAGGCCAAGGCTGTACTGAAGAGGAATGCAGACTGTGTCCTGCTATTTTCTTAATTCCTTATCCTTTTTGGCCCTAAAGTGTGAATAAAGAGGAGAGCAAGTAGTACAAATACAGATGGGCTGTTCTGAAGTGGGACTGCCTTTCCGTGCGAGTAGCAATTCTCAGTTAGTCGTGTGAGTGAAAAGTCTTTGCCTCAACACGTGTTGCAAGTATGTCCATTCCAGTTATCAGATAAACTACAGATTTCTTGTTCTTATCTCGTGAAAATGTGCAACTGCTTCAAAATCGATGGTTTGCTAGCTTTGTTGGGGTGAAAAACTTGAAGTTTTCAGTTGTTTTAAGTTAAAAAAATTCCTCCTGCATACCCAGGGACACTGTTGTGCAAAAGCGGTAATAAAGAATGATCTTTTCGTAATGGGAAAAGACAAAACAAAGTAGGCAGCAACTTAGAAGGAAACCCAGAGTTCTGAATTTTAATGGCTTGTTTAGTGTCACAGGAGCCAAGGAGCTTTTGTTCTTTTACCAGTGCCAGAGGTGAGGGAATGAATTTTAGTAGTGACGGGGTAACACTGGTGTCGGGAGAAGGATGGTTTTAAATTTCAGTCTTATTTCCCACAGGGACATCTCAAAATTTGCCATGCATTACATAATAGAAGAAATAGACGAAGATACGTCCATGGAAGATTTGCAGAAAATGATGATAGTAGCTCTCATCTACAGGTTATTGGTCTGCTTCTATGAGGTAACTACTCATAAACCTCGATAATCAGTAGTTGTCAGCTGTTGAGTAAATGTTGAAAAAAAATTCTGTCACCGTTGGCCTACGAAGTAAATAAATCCTCTTTACAGTGTTGTGGATTATGCTGAAGCTCACTGATGTTCATGCAGTTTTGAGGAAAACCAGTCAATGTGGAATTGAAAGAACTTTTCTTTTACAGATCATCTGTATTTGGGGAGCAGGTGGAGCAACCCCAGGGAAATTCTTGCTCGGACTGCGAGTTGTGACGTGTGATACGTCGGTGCTCGTCGCGCCCAGCCGCGTGTTGGTCATTCCGTCTTCTAACGTCAGTATGACAACGTAAGTGCTCTTACCTCCGACACAGGAATGGTGTGGAGAGGGTGTGATTTGGAGGGAAGTACACCCCTTCTTAATTACTGACCTTCAAAAGAATTGGATTGTGAGATCTATCTTGAGATTTGGTGATCTAAGAATAAAACAGCAGTTAGGCAACCGCAAACGTTTTTCACGTTAGGTGGTAAAATAATCTCTGATGGATTTTCGTGCTGTGCAGAGCTGAGGCACTAAACCTGAAAGTAAACCACCTACTAATAGAAGCAGAAAAGTGAAAATAAAGCACTGAATGTTTCATTCTTGTTTCAGGTCCACAATACGAGCTTTGATCAAGAATTTTTCCATTGCTTCATTTTTTCCTGCATTCATTACGCTGCTGTTTTTCCAGCATAACAGAACAGCTTATGACATTGTAGCAGGGACTATTGTGGTAAGAAGAAATGGAGTCAGATGATGCCAAAATAGAGGAGATTTCCAGACTGGTTTTAAGACCCCCCTCCCAACCCCGAGTGAACAAAGACCTACCCCAAAACTGAAACTGAGGCGTCCATCAGAATCTTTTGCCCAAATGAAACGGGAACGGATAGAGAAGCTCAAGAAAATGTTTTGCTTCAGTATGATGCCAGCAGCTACCTTCAAAGTATTGGAGTTTTCATAAATGCCAAAGAAGTTGGGGAGAACAGTAAATCCGGATTAACCTCTGACTGATGAGAAAGGACGTGGCTGTATTAAGTGCAGGAAGGAGGTGTTCTGTTCGTCAGCCTGTGGAAAGCAAAATCCTAGAAATACTCCATCTCAAATGTCGCTCCTGCAGTTTTGGACGTTGGCAGGTAACAAGAAAATGAAGCTGTTTTCCAAGCAGTTGCCTAAGTTGTACGATAAACTCTTGCGGGGAAGCGACTACAGTATTACAGTCGGGCAAACCCTGTGAATTGCCGAGTTGTGGTGTGCGTAGAAGAGATGAGGGGTGGTTATCGTGTCCCTTACTACTGCTTCACAGTTCGTATTCCCTGCCCTCTAAGTATTTTACTGGAACATTGACGTGAGAAATTTTTTGCATGGTTGTCTTGAGCGTTGCCACTTATTTCACATGTCAAAGCTCATAAAGAGGTGAAATTATAGCTGCTTTTTCTCTGGGAAAGGCGTGTTACACTGCAGTGTTAGTGAATCAGTGTGTGTAAATAATTTTGGAGCTACGAACAGCACAGATCATGCTAACGAAAGGTAACTTCTTTGCTACTTTTGGGAGTGAAAGCACTTGTCTGTTCCTTGCATATAATACCAAGCAAAACAACCGAATGTGTTTCGGGAGCATGTGGCAAACATTAACCAAACTGTGTTATGGGTGTAAATCTACGGAAGTACAAATGCTGGTTATTTTCACTTTATAATTCTGGCTAATTGTTTGTATATTCAGAACAACCTAAATACTGAGTAAAGCAGCCTAATATTTTGCATGATTACGTAGCTTTGATAATTTGTTTCTTCTCATGTTATTAGTACCTTGAGAAAGAAATAGAAGCAACTCTGTTAATGTTTTATTAAAACTGGAGTCAGAGTTTGGAATTCTAGCGCCCGGGTTTTGTGTGTGTTCCCCTCCTAGGTGTAACTTGCCACTTGGTGGCTGAAGTTCTCACCCTGCCTTCAGTTTTGGGCAGGGGTTCGGCTAACAGCCGAAATGTTCTAGAGCTTGGTTATCTCTCTTCATGCAAAATAGTAACATGGTAACATTCTCTAGTATTTTAGTTTGACAAGTGGTGGTGTCCCGTGTACAAATACAACATCACTTAAAAGGATGTTGCGGGACTAGCAGCACCGCTTGTTAGTGGGAGAACAGCACTTTGCCAGCAGTTCTCTCTCCAGCACGAAGTCACTACACTTATATAATTATTTTTCAGTATTTCTGAAGTTTTAAAACAAACAAAAAAATCATCTCAGCTAGAAAACTGATTTTAAAGTCTTTGCAGCATCAGAAAGTGTATCTGTATCAAAGTATCTCATGATTTTGAGGGGTACTGTTGTTTTGCACTAATAATTTTATTACCAAGTAAAAAGACTTCAGCATCTCAAATCAGCTCCTAGCATTAAGAGCAGTATTAACTGATACACATCACTGAAATGAAAATGTTTAAGTAAATAAATGGCAATAAACGGGCCTGACTCAAGTACCCTTCTGAGGTTGTTAGACCACGTGGAGTGAAGCTGTTCAGCTAAACCAGAACTTCAGTGCCTGTTCTTTAAAATAAGTGCACTGGTGACTAAAGATTTCCAGTTCAGGCATGGTCATCAGCCTGACAAAAGCCAAAGCTCTCGGAACTAATGAGAAGTCCCTTCTGGGGTGAGGGTTGCCCACTTACAATTTCAGTACAAATTCAAAAAGAACTTCTCTACTGACTGTAGCAGTGACCTAGAAACTGGGATTCACGGTGAAGGGGAGGAAGGGAAAAGCAGCACCGTCAGCTAAAACATTATTGCTACCCTTTCAGTAGAAGGGAAAGCGTCTCCTACCCTGTAAAACACACCGCCCCTTCTACAGCAGGTAAAGAAAAAAAATTGTAATTCACGAGCCTGCCCATGGAAGTTTGTATCTGTGATGCTGCTCTAAATGTTTGTCTGATACGCAAGGTGCGCTGAGGACGCTTTTTTTTTGTGTTTGTAGGAGGAATACTTGGCAGGGGACAGAGCTAAGGGAAAAAAGTGAAAATTGTGGGGGGTATTTTTTCAGATTTAGACATCTGGAAATACGTAAACGCATATGAACCTGCTACAGCGGCAGGTGCAACTGAACAGCAGCTTCTAGGTGTGTCTTAACATCTAGTCGCCGAGTATTCTCTATTTATAGAGTAAGCCCTGGAGGAGCTCCACCCCTCCCACAAGAACCAAAGGTTGGCCTCAGCCCTCCTCTGCAGTCACAGGTGTGGTTCAGGTACCTCACTCTGCAATACTGCACCTGCAGGAGCACGGAGCAGCAGTGGGGGCAGAGGGCAGAAGCACTCACAAAAAATGCCACTGAAGACAGAGCTTACAGAATCACGAAGGGTGGAAAAGACCTCTGAGGACATCAGGTCCAACCACCAACCCAGCACCCCCACGACCACTGAACCGTGTTCTCCCAGGAGCAGCTCCAGCTGCTGAAGACGTATTAAAAAACCCCAAACTACACATTTACAATTGGGTGCGCTTCAGTTACAATGCTGGTGAATGCTTGTAACATTAGCTTTTTCTTTTTTTCATAATAAAAATTAACTGCAGCCAGACAGCTGAGACAGTGGCCTATGGCTCCAAGCTTAATTCTCCAATAAAATTCTTTTGCCTAACGGGAAGCTTCCACTTAACTTCAGATCCTCTAAAACCAGCGTCGCTGTCGGAAAGCAGAGGTTGGAAAAAGCCCGGGCTGTCGCCAAGGTCGAGCGCGTCGGCTTGCAGTGTTCCAGCTCCCTGTGCCTTCACGGCGAGTTAAAACTGCCAGAGAATATTTCATAGTTTTTATTGATGGCATTTATCCCATGGTTTAACATGTTAATTATACTGTAATAAACATGGCTTTAATATTAAACTTTTCCTTATTATCCAAAGTCACCACAGTCCATTTCAGTAAATATAAAAATATATACTTAATACTTTGTACAATACTGGTTTTTGGTCCAAACAAAAATGGATCAGAAAAGCCAATAACTTTACTTTAAGAATTCCCAATTTTAAAGATTTTCTAAATGGATTTAGGCAACTTTGAATAATGAGATTTACATAAAATCTGAGACAATACTAAACAAAAATGGCCGTAACACACAAAATTAAATTTCAATTTCACAGAATTGTTATGCCAAAAAAGTACGTAGAGAAACAAAATCATATTTACACGTTTCATAATAAAATAATGAAGGCGAGACAGGTGATAAAGGGCTGTAAGAATGAAAATATAGAAATAGCATATAATTATTAAATGAAGAACTACAGATCTAACAAGTCCTTAAGCACGGATCATCCTTTTTTGAATCAGTCTTCCTCTATCAGAGAATTTTAGTGCACGATACACCCAAACTCACTCAACTTCACACATACACCGGCACAAACTCAGCATCGAAATCATTCGCCGCCAACATTCTCTACTCTATACAGCAGCCCTCGCCGAGATAATTACAGTTCCGAGGAGGCGTCGGTACCCGCAGGTGAGCGCGCGGCGCGGATGAAGAGGTATTGTACAAGCCAGGCTCTGCTCGCGGCTGTCGCCAGCCCATGCCGAGTCAGTGAACAGAAGGAACTTGCTGGAGTCTAAAAGAGTTTCACTCGAGAATGGCCCTGTTGCCAACTCTATTCGTTACCAGAAAACAAGAAAAAGGAAAAAAAACAAGCAAAAAAAAACCTAATTGGGGAGAGGGAAGGGAAGGGAAGGGAAGGGAAGGGCAGCAGTTTCATACTCCTTGAGGCGGATCTGACTTGAGCTAACCCAGCAGGAGGAACGATCCCAACAACTGAACAACGCGGGGTAGTAGCTGCTTCGAAAAGTTGCTTTACCAACGGGTGGGTTATTTTCTACGTCTAACTGCAGTCTTTATCTTGCGACCAGGAACTGAAGATCCAGAGGCAGAGAAAACATTTTTCCCGTTAGTCCTATCAAAAGAAAGGAGTAGTTCAGACTTGAGGACAGCGTGGTCGACCATTCAGTAGCAGCACTGAGTGGAAATTCAGAGCCTGCTCTCACTAGTTACCAGCTGGCAACAAATGGCCTGTGGTGAACAGGGGGAAGAGAGTTCCAGAAACCAAAAGCAATTAAATCTCTCTTACTGAGAAGGTACGCAGCAGCGTAACGCTCAGATTTCACCTTCCAAGAACAAGACAATTTTGCCCGGCTTTGGCGAGTGACATTTCTGACGGCTGGGCTCCTTTAAAGACACCCCGTGCTCAGGGAGCCCGCCAGGCTACACGAGGCAGGAGGCCCAGGTTAGCGTCAAAGTCCGTTCAGCCAACACCGCCTGCTTTAACAGCAGCAGAGGCTGAAACGCCGTCCACCGATATTAGCCCCGAAGCTCGAGCGCAATTCCGAACCGGTCTCTTACCCCACTGTAAATCCTGGAGGCTGGCTGAAGGAAAATCCCGAAGAGCCAGAGGGCTGCGCCGGTGCAGGAGAGTTTGCACCGAACGTAAATACTCCTGGGTTATTTGGGAAGTTGAAATTAGAAGTGTTACTTCCAAACTGGAATACAGTACCTGGGAAGATGGGGTGGAAGCAGAAGGGAGTAAGAAAGTTGAAAATGGGCATCACCCTTCCCAGCAAAATCCTCATGTTCTTTCCAATAACTTTAATGAAGTTTTCTTACAGGTCGCTCGAGACAGCAAAAGCTGGGAAGAGGGGACATGCACCACAAGTGCCAGGTTACTATGATTCTTTCGCTAGAATAATCATAAAGGGATTCTTCAAGTAACACTGCCCGCACACCGATACTGAACTGTTGGCTAATTTCCGTACTACTTCTGTATTTATACCTGTGCATACTGAGGTTTTAGGAACAGTCTGAAATTTCAGCCCTGAACACCACGGAGATTTGTGTTTAAAATTTCTTGTGTTCACGCAGTCGATCTGGGGACTCCCTTTCCTTTAGCGTGCTAACACAGCACCTCATCTTAGAAAAAAATCAATAATTCCTACCATCAGAGTAACTGGTAAGCAGCAGACAGGGAGACTGTCATCATTAAGCTGCTCCATGATTAATAAAAAAGAGTAACACGGTGTGCCACAAATCTACCGATTAGTACTAAAATGTCAGT